CCAGAAACACACGTCGTTGACAGTGACAGTAGAGATGGGGAGCCAGTGTGATCTAAAGACCAGTGCAAGCCATTGCCGAATGCATTGCTCTTGTGCCCAGTACTTCTTCTGCATCGGCTAATTCCAAAGCTGTCTCGACCATCTATTTTTTCCTAATGTAAATAAATCGATCTTGGCTAAATTGTTAATTTTTCAACATAAAGACTAATATAAAACCTGTCCTTGAAACAGTTCGTTCATTTTTGTAGCATCACACAAGTACCATTAGTACATTTGCTTCTTGCTGTTTTCAACCTCAACAATCTTGTCGTATATAAAAGATGTTGGAATGTATATGCTTTTGTGTTTTGAAATTAGTTTTACATACCACAGATTCATACTCCCAACACTTCCGACATACTTGTCAATAGTCACCCTTTGTCCAGGATAAAGTGGAGATGTATACAGAACAATGAAGCTTTTGTAGATTTTCTGCATTAAAGGCCTTGTAACCTCAGAAATTGTGAAGTTGTTTTGTTTGAAGGGATTGAACAATCTTAGAAGCATTCTTTGGGGCTGAAATTGGAACTTGTGAAAGACGGAGAACAGTCAGTCGAGACTTAATTGCCAGCATCAATGCAAGGCTGACTTTGGCATAACTACATCCAGTAATGCTGGGAATGCTAAATCAAAGCTTTGTCAAAAGTACCTAAAATCTGCGCCATCTCGTATCTAAAATAACTAAAATTTTAGCTTTTATTCAAATTTACCCTTCTCGAAGCCGCGTAGTGGCCCATCCCTGTAGAAAATCTTAGGTCTAAACATTTTATCCTCCCCATTATACTGCTGTTTCGAAACTTCCTAACTAAATTGTCAAATCCCTGCACCGTTGCATATGTTAGCTCTGCAATCTTTCCGCTTGAAAAGTTCTTCCACTTCTTCCCATTTATTCTGTAGTAAAAGCTCTGCACTGAAAGTGGCTCTGTAAAATTTATAAAGGCATATCCTACATTGCATTTATTTTTAAAGTCCATTCTCAGGTACAGAAAATCATACTGGCCAAAGTGGGTCTGGTTGATAAAATCAACTAGCATTGAACTATTAAATTTATTTGGTATGTTTTTAATCATGCAGGTTGTTCTCCCATCATACTGGACCCTTTCGGGGATCAATCCTGAAAACAGAGCTAGAGTTTAGCTTGCTTTCAATAAAATCAATGGCAGGTGATCTCTCGGTAAAGTTAATTTCTATCCTAGTATTACTTCTATCAAGGTACTTTGGGAACCGATATGGAGCATTGGCTGCATTCTCTTTATTTGGCTTTTCTGCCGCTTCTGCCGAAGATACCAGGTCATCATCCGAGAAGTTCATTTAGCATAAACAACCACTGCTTTAAAAACAAAGCTAATATTAAGGTTGTAGCATATTTAACACTTTTTAATATTTTCCAGCAGCATCACCTGCAAAAAATAAAAGCCCTTGTTGGATCTGGCGTTTCCGAAAATGAGAATGCACAATAGAAGCAAGCACTGTCTGCACTACCCATATGGCTACTTAAGCCAGGCCAGCTACCGATGGCTTTAGTTGCTGACAATTGAAGCGTGCAAATCCTCAACAGACGCACTCTTGGCACTCCAGTATGCTTTGATTTTCTTGATCTAAGTGTACCTTGTGATCTGTTTTGAAATATCTCCACCCATGGCTATCTACTACACACAGATACTAAATTCAGATAGCAAAAAAATTCTGGCAGGAAGCTTTTCACTAGCTGGAGACCCGCTGAAACCCAACAAAGATCTACTCATAGAACTCAAAAATGCAATATCGAGCCTTCCCTCTCAACACAAGGTATTTAGTCTTCACTCTACAAAGAAAACATACTTGTTCTATTTCAAAGTAGCCCGAGACATGATCATGTCGTCAATAGTGGATAGCAGAACCACGGATAAGTTAATTACAAGGTATTTTGGGGATGTTGAGAAGGAATATACTTCCAGATACAGTGAACTTAGGAGTCCCCATTATGAGTTTGACGACAAGCTCAAGTCAATAACGGATTCTTTCAACAAGAAATACAATATGCTGTTGGGCGCCGAAGAACTTGAGAACACACACACAGCACTGGTCGAAAATCTGGATACGCTGATTAATCGTGGAGAGAATATTAACATTCTGAAAGACCTGGCGGAAAAAGTCAACCTTGAAACGCGGGAAATGTCAAGAAAAGTGAGCCAGATGAAGCTGAATGCCCGGATCGAGCAGTACAAGGTGTATGGTGCAATAGCAATTGCAATATTTCTGTTGTTACTTTTATACTTCCGTAGATAATAAAAATACTCTACACAACATCTGCTTTTTCTACGGGTTTGTACACTTTATATCACATGTTAAACTGTAATGGTTTATCAGTCGGCAATAGATTATGGCTGGGCTGGCGTGCTGAGGTCAGTCACAAGATAATCCAAAGCCGATTGATAAACAAAAGCCTGTGCTGTTTGTGGCGCATGGCTTAATTTCCTTTTAAAAATTTAGTAGCCCAATGGCTGCAAATTTTAGTTTTGCGGAGACGCACACGGAAGTTCTCATTACGTTCTACAAAGCACCAAACGATGTAAAGAGCGGCGTGTCTGAGGTTGTTAGCCCAGAAATCAAACTGAAGGATTCTGCTACCTTGATGTATAACACGGAGGAAATATCTCTGCATGCTGCAGTTCAACTGGTAAGCATTGAAGACTCGAAGTATAAGACTGAAGTAGTACTAAAGAAGGAGACGCCATCAAAATGGAACTGCTTGAGTGGAAAGGTAGAGGTGCTGAAGGTGAGGGATGAAATCTATAAGGACGATCAGGAGCAGTCTAATCCTCAAGACATGATGGAGCTGTTTAAAGATATCTATGCGAAAGGCGATGACGATGTGAAAAGAGCGATGAACAAGAGCTTGAAAGAGAGTGCTGGCACTGTCCTGAGTACAAACTGGAAGGATGTTAGCTCGAAGAAAGTAAATCCAGAAAAGTAGTTTACTAGTGTTATTAAAGAATTAATGAACAATAGTGTAGCATAAAATGCCGTGTCTTTGTATTATTTTAATAATCTTGTGTTGGAAACATGTCAAGATACCTCAAATATAAGTAGGGTTCTGCAGCTCTTGCCAATCAAGAACTAATAATATCCAATCAAGTTACTAATTTTTGTCAAAACATGTTCTTTGTTTTGGAAAATTTTTAGTCCCATGCTGAAGAACCTCAAATTATTCAAAAACCTTGATTTTCTGAGGAGTGGCATGTTTAAGACTTTTATTCTGGTATGTGCGTCGATAGTGCTATTCTATGCTTCAATGTTTAGAATACCTGAGACGTCGCGGGAACGCAGTACCGTGCCTCTGAGCAGGCCCCAGTTCAAAAAGCTGATTTACTTTGTGATCGATGGTCTTAGGTTTGATGGGTTTGTGCCAACAAACAAAGAGGGGATCTACTACAACAATTTTGTGTTCACAAAAGATCCTGCTGTTCTCAAGACAACGTTCTTTTCGGTTTCCTCCATTCCGACTGCTACAACCTGTAGGGTCATCAGCCTTATGACTGGTGCGCCCAGTAATCTGATCGAAGAAGTAATGACATTTTTCATGTCGAAGGTAAGGATAGAGTCATTGCCTGATAAGCTTTCGGACAGGCCAATGAGGTTTTACGGCGACGATCTCTGGGTCAAGAGTTTTGAAGCACTAAAAAACAACTCGTTCACGTTTTGCGGATTTAGTAAAGCCGACTTGGCAACGAACGAGACCAATCTGGCCGAAAAGGTCATAAGCGACAAAGACGTTGACATTAAATTCATTCATACAATCTCGGTGGATGCATTTGGGCATGTGTATGGCACAGTGCACCATGAAAAAGTAAGGGAGGCGCAGGTCAGGGCAGACAATCTTCTAAGTGAGATGTACAGAAATATGGACGAAGACACTCTGCTTGTGGTAACGTCCGATCATGGGGTAACAAACGAAGGCGCACATGGCGGAAGTTCTAAATACGAGATGGCTTCGTTCTGTGGGTTTTACTCTAAAAAACCAATATTGGCTCCTGAAAACGGCCTATCCAGCTCTGGTGAAAATATTTACAACTCTGAATTCATTCGGAAATTTTACGACCTTGATCTTTTCAGTGTCGAAAACGACTGGATCAGGCCTCAAAACCCATACAAGATAATACACCAAGACGACATTCTTCCTACCGTTTGCTACTTGCTAGGCATTCCCGCACCATTAAATACATACGGAAACCTCATACCCTACCTTGTCGAAGACGACAATGCTCAAAGAATTTTATTTGAGCAAAAGAAAAAACTGCTATCGGACCTGAAAAAATTTAATAATGAGACTGATGACTGTTTCAGAGACTACAAAAGCTGCAACTACGAGCTAACAATGCTGATATATTCAAGATTGATGGGAAAGCACCCTTTTCTTGCCTGTCTGGCTGCAATTTTTGGAGCGGCTGCGCTGTGTCAAATATTCGTCCAGCTGGTGAAATCAGGCGCCTTAACAAAGCAGTTGCTTCCATCTATTCCATTCATCATAGCCATGGTTATGGTTACTCATTCGTACTGGTCCTTTGCATCTGAAGATGTTGTTTGGTCTGCTGTCTTCCTCCTAACTAACTTTTCATTTGCTAACCTAATTTTTGCAATATTCTTTTTGAAAACACCCGGAAGGAACTTGTTTGCTGAAGACAGAATTAACTTGCATATTCCAGCCTTCAGGAATAAGCTAGAGGTGGCCCTGCTGGTTGCATTGTTTTTTGTATTCAAAAATGTGAAGCTGGTGAAATCTAAGCATTTAGTGAACGACGAACCTAATACAGGTGTAGCTAATTATAATCAGGAATTCATAAGCAACTGCCTTAGGACACTGCCACAGCTTTGCTATTTACTCTACTCGCAGATTGCAAAAATTGACTACCAGTCCAAGATAGCCTTTCTTGGTATTTATCCCTCTGTTGACTCCTTTTTTATTGTTCACATGCCGCCTGCAGTGGCTATTCTTTTCATCTACTTCCTTAGAAATATCGACTTTAGAAGAACGCAGGCAGCAAAGCACACCCTGCTTGCCTTTTGTCCATATCTACTAAATCTTGAAAAGGTTCAACAGTCCATCAACTACGAGGTCTTCTTTGCCCTCACAAACAAGTTTGGGTTGGTTTCTAGCGGCCTTGCAGCTCTGGCATATTTTGTCATTCCACGATATTATGTGATCAGAACATTTGAAATTAGCTTGTACGGGATGTTTCTTAATCTTGTTTCACTGCTCTTTTGCTTCGTTTGTAGCTGGGTGATGAAGGAGTCACTTGTTTTCCAGTATTTCTTTGTTGGAAGATTGTTGTTTGTGACGATGTTTTTCATAGTTGATGTTCTGGTGGAAGGAGCCATAGCTTTGAAAAGGACGAATAAATGACTTGCCGCTTTATTTTAATTTACTGCCTAAACTGATCAGTTAAACTCTACGGAGAATGCATATAATCTGACGTAAAGCCATTGTTTTAGTATTACGTTTCTAAAGTTCGCTGCTGCCTTTCTTGGAATAATAGTTCTCAAATTCAACAAACACTCTTCTTGAGCAAACAATAATTTTCTTCTCTTCGCTGCTTAGTTTTGCCACATCATCCTCACTAAAATCGCCCTTCGGTAATAAAGTGATAAGAGACCCAATTCTTTCAAAGAATGTGTGGAAAAGATACTTTCTGTCGTAAATATGCATATTTACAGTGTAAAAATACCTGTTTTTGAGATCAACAAGCACTGCCCCTGCATCCAAGTCATGCTTCATTGTTTTTAGTGGATGCTCAACCACACAGCAGTATTCATTCAGCAGCAGAAACTTGATAAGAAAGAACGGAAGATCAACTTTTGCATCTCTTTTGATACTACTGTGTGTTGGGCCCAGATAAAATCCAAAGTTTTCAACCTCATGTGAAAACTTTACCTTTAGTTTTTCTTCTTCGGCTAGGATTGAGTCGATACAATAGTAGTCCATTGTGAATGCTTCAGGAAGGGTACTCTGCTGCAGAAAAGATATACCAATTACACACTCGCTGCTAAAATGCCACAATGGCCCCTCCAGAATAATCGCACATCGACCAACCAGCCTCTCAAGCAGCATTTGCTATCTCCCCCATTTCCGTACCATCTCGATACGATAGATACACGGATAGCAATTCAAGTTCAACCAACTTTATGAGCAACATAGCACGGCAAAGTGCTCCATACCATTCCCTGCATCTCTACATCCCATACTAAAATTTTATGCCCATGAACAAAAGTCCCTCTCTGGACAATCATTCACAAGATATTCAACATGATGATGTCTGGACTATAATTAGCTCTTATTTTGAACAAAAAGGCCTGGTTCGTCAGCAGTTGGATTCGTTTGACCAATTTGTCAGAGTCAAAATGCAAGAAATCGTGGACGAGAATCCTCAGATCATTGTGCAGTCGACACCAACTGCTGGATCCTCTGCCGTAAGAAGAATGGTTATAAAATTTGGACAGATATATGTAACAAAGCCACCTGTTTACACCGAAAGCGATGGCCGATCGATCACTCTGTATCCAAGCGAAGCAAGAATTAGAGACTTAACATATGCGTGCAATATTTACATTGATGTTACTAAAATAGTTGAGAACGAGTTTGGAGAGAGAGATGAGCACAAGTTCAGCAGAACAAGCTTGGGACAGCTTCCGATCATGCTAAGATCTAGCTGCTGTATCTTGCATGGACTAACAGAAAAGGACATCGTTCAGATTGGGGAGTGTCCGTACGACCAGGGGGGATATTTTATTGTATCAGGAAGTGAGAAAGTGATTGTTGCACAGGAGAGAATGGCTTCGAACACCATCCACATTTTCAAGAAGTCGCAGCCAGCACCCTATACCCATTACTCTGAAATTCGATCTGTGCCCGAAAAAGGATCAAGGACGCCCTCTGCCTTTTCAATAAAAGTTATGAGGAATCCGAGGGTTATAAGGGCGTCACTGCCTCTGGTGAAACAGGATATTCCGATAGCCATCATTTACAGAGCATTGGGGTTTTTGAGCGACCGGGAAATCATCAGCCACATTAACTTCGACAATGACGATGCTATTTACTCATTCCTGGCGCCTAGTCTTGAAGAGGCATCCGTAGTGCAGGACCAGCTTACTGCTCTTGATTTTATTGGTAAGAGAAGCGCACCTGTTGGGTCACCACGCGATAAGCGAGTACAGTTTGCCAGAAATCTTCTGGCCAAGGAGTTTCTCCCGCACATTGGCACTCAAGAATTTTGTGAGACCAAGAAAGCGTATTTCCTAGGCTATATGATCAGTAAGACACTGAATGTCGTTCTTGACAGAAGAGAAGTTGACGATAGAGACCACTGTGGAAAGAAGAGAATGGATCTTGGAGGGCCTTTGCTTGCGTCGTTGTTTAAAATGCTTTTTAAAAAGCTGTGTGCCGAAACTGCCAAGCACATGCAGAAATGCATTGAAAACAGCAGGGACTTTAATATTGCGCTGGGCATAAAGAGCAGCACCATAACACAGGGATTTAGGTACGCATTGGCCACAGGAAACTGGGGCGACCAGGCCAGGGCCATGCAGACGCGTGCAGGAGTGGCACAGGTTCTTAATAGATACAACTTTCTATCTACTCTAAGCCATCTCAGACGTGTGAATACACCCATTGAAAAAGAGGGCAAGCTTGCCAAGCCCAGACAGCTCCACAACACCCACTGGGGACTCATTTGTCCGGCAGAAACGCCGGAGGGACATGCGTGTGGCTTGGTTAAGAATCTGAGTTTAATGGCTTATATTTCGGTTGGAAAGTCGTCCGCACCTATTATTGAAATACTTGAAGAATGTGGAGTTGAAAGGCTTGAAGAAGTGTCGTGCATTAGGGGCACGAAGTATTTGTTAATGGACTGTGGCTGGGCATCCATTCCAATCCAGCCGAACTTGTTGAGAATCTCAGAAACCTTAGGCGGTCGCAGGAAATAGACAAGGAGATTTCTATTGTGAGAGACATCAAGGAAAATGAAGTGAGGATATTCTCCGACTCGGGCAGGCCTTGCAGACCGCTGCTTATTGTAAAAAACAAGAGACTTTTAATTACAAGAGAAGATATTTTGGCAATTAAAAGTCTCAGAACCAGGTGGGACGATCTACTCAGAGCAGGCAAAATTGAGTATTTGGATGTTGAAGAGGAGGAAACCTCTCTCATAGCCATGGATATTGCAGACCTTCCGAGCAAGGAGTATACGCATTGTGAAATTCATCCTGCAGTGATACTAGGCATTACAGCATCCGTTATTCCCTTTCCCAACCATAATCCTAGCCCAGAAATACATACCAGAGCGCGATGGGCAAGCAGGCCATGGGGATATTCTCAACAAACTTTGCGTTTAGGATGGACACCCTCTCAAACATTCTCTTCTATCCGCAGAAGCCGCTTGTAACAACCAGATCCATGGAGTATTTGCGGTTCAAAGATCTCCCAGCAGGCCAAAATGCGATTGTTGCCATTGCTTGTTATACTGGATACAATCAAGAGGACTCTGTGATAATGAACCAAAGTGCTATTGATCGGGGCCTTTTCAGATCATTCCTATACCGAACATATGCTGACCAAGAGGACATGGCGCGCCCCGGCGTCAATGAAGAGTTCTGCAAACCTGACAGACGAACATGCACCAAGATGGGTAACTACAACTACAATAAGCTGGGCACTGATGGTCTGGTTTTTCCAGGAACGGAAGTTGTGGGTGACGATGTTCTTATTGGCAAAGTCACTCCCATCCTAGATGTTGAGAAGAGCACCAGGGAGAACCCATTCTACATCATGAAGGACTCAAGCACGGTTATGAAGAAGACCGAGGAGGGTGTTGTTGACACGGTGATTGTAACAAACAAGGATGGATACAAGTTCTCTAAGGTGAAGGTCAGATCTACCCGTATTCCGCAGGTTGGAGATAAGTTTGCATCCAGACATGCACAGAAGGGCACTGTTGGTATCACTTTACGTCAGGAGGATATGCCATTTACCAGCGATGGGCTAGTTCCTGATATTATTGTTAACCCCCACGCCATGCCCATGAGAATGACGATTGGACATCTGCTTGAGTGTCTTCTTGGAAAGGTGTCTGCACTCAGCGGAGAAGAGGGTGATGCCACTCCATTTAGCGAGGTGACGATCGAGCAGATTTCAGAGAAGCTCAAGTCATTTAATTATCAATCGCGTGGGCTTGAGGTGATGCACAATGGAATGACTGGCAGGAAGCTCAGGGCTCAGATATTCATTGGGCCAACCTACTACCAGAGACTGAAGCACATGGTCGACGATAAAGTTCATGCAAGGGCAAGAGGCTCTCTCCAGGTAATGTCTAGACAGCCTCTTGAAGGCCGCTCAAGAGACGGCGGTCTCCGATTTGGAGAGATGGAAAGGGATTGTATTATTTCACATGGTGCTTCGGCCTTTCTCAAGGAAAGACTGATGGACGTTTCTGACTGCTATACCTGCTATGTTTGCGACAAATGTGGATTACTGGCAATATCAGGAAAGGATATTTTAGAATGTAAGGGGTGCTCCAATCAGGTTGCAATATCCAAGATTCAAATACCTTATGCATTTAAGCTACTTCTACAGGAGCTGATGGCTATGAATATAGCGCCGAGGCTCAGGGTTGAATAAAGCAAGCTAGTCTTTGCATTTTCGTTTATTTAGTTTTATGGCCAGTTCCAGCACAGCATTCTAGTTTTAGAGTGGATTTGCAGCTGCTGAATTATATCTAAAACAGCATTCTTGGGGCTTTTAAAAAATTCTCGCTTGGTGCCCTCGTTCGAAGACTTTCCTCCTGACTATGGTAAATCAAAATCCCACCCAGAAAACACAAGGCTCGGGCATCCAATCAAGTTTTTATAACGAGTCATCCACGTTTTTGAGGAGTAAGCATCTTCCCCGTCCTCACACCCAAATATTCTTTAACTTTATCCTTGCCTCCCCGCTCAACGAAGTGAGAGCATTTTTTATAACGGTAATCAAGAAAAAGTACCCAAATGTATTCTACGCCTATGACTCCTCTTCGTTTTGCCTTTTAAAATGTAACAGAAATTTGAAGAAGGGCCAAAGATATGTTGTGTATGGCAAGCTGACAAAAAACAGGCTGTACTTTCTGGAGAGTCTAAAGGAGGAAGAAGTAGATTACAAAGAACTATGCTACATGCTGCTATAGGCCCCCTGGCCACACAATAAAGCAAACCAGTATGAATCAAATGCCATAAATTTAATATCATTGACTAAACCCCACCAGGCTTGGCCGACTATTCAAATTAGTACTTATAAATAAATGTCTCATGATGCACCTACTAATTTTCTGCTATTTTCTAACGCTCGTCGATCCAAAGTGCTCATTCCATGCACAGTATCCCTCCAAGTCTTTCTCAGAAACGCTTTTTCGGATCTGTCTCATTGCGTTTTTGAAATCTCCAACACTGATTGGTCTTGCATCTGTAGGATTAAACTTGTTAATATCGCTAATCTCCCTCAAGGGCTCCATCGATGCTTCGCGGCAGAGATTAAACATGTCAGACCCCGAGTATCCCTCTGTGCATCTTGCTATTTCCTCAAGACCTGCATCATCAATACAATGAGAGTATGCACCTATCAGTTGATGCACCATTCTCTTTCTGCTTTCAGACTCTGGCAACGGAACATATATTCTTTTGACCAATCTTCGCCTGGCTGCCTCGTCTATTTCGTGTGGCCGATTGGTTGCTCCAACAACAAGTATCCGATCATTCTCATCCACCGATGCGCCATCAAACTGCACCAAAAACTCGGTTTTAATTCTTCGACTGCCTTCATTTTCATTATCTGATCTTTGTGATAAAAGTGAGTCTACCTCGTCAATAAAAATAACAGAAGGCGACATCTTCCTGGCAAGGTAGAACAGCGCGCGTACCATTTTCTCCCCTTCGCCCACCCACTTAGAGGTTAATGAACTTGCGCTGATAGAAAAAAATGTTGCCCTGCACTGGCTTGCAATACACTTGCCAATCATGGTTTTTCCAGTCCCAGGCGGCCCAAAAAGTAGCAAACCCTTCGGCGGTCCTCTAAGGCCTGTGAAGATGTCGGGCCTTAGCATAGGCCACACTACTATCTCGTTTACAATTTTCTTCACGTCCTCAAGCCCGACAATATCATTCCAGTTGACATTGACGCTAGTCTCCAATATTTCCTTGCTTATTCTTTCAATGATGTACTCGTCCACGTTGCATTCTTTTTTATTTTTACTGCGTTCTGCCTCTTCAATGTCTCTGCCTGATATTTCCTTGCCACAATCTTTTGTCGCCGATGGTGTTACAAACTCGGTCTTGGCCATCCTACTCATCCTAGCGGATTCTTTTTCGAAAAAGTCTCCACACACAGGCTTGTATTTCGAAAGCATCCTCGAAATGGCCTCGGTGTCTGCCTTTATTGGCATTCCTACGTAGTCAGCAATAAACGGAAGTACATTTTTGTTCTTCGATATTTCGGCAATACTACACTCGTTCAAGAATGACAAATACCTCTGTATTTCATCGTTACGGAGTTCGATGGGAATAAACGACACAAACTCTGGTATTCCTAATTCCGAAAGTCTCTTTTGCAATTCATTGAACTTAGAGTCCATTGCGGCTTGGGATCTAAAAGTGCAAGGACTAAAAGACTACTAGAAAGAATGCCTGATATTGAATGTCGACTAGCATAGCCAACATTAAAGCTGAAATAGCCAGCATGAAACCATGAGGCTCTATCTGGAAAATATCCGTATATCATTTCCGTCTCAAGTTCTAACTTAGTGCCACCATCA